AAATGCACATCCAATGTTTGTATAAAAAGAACAAAAAAAACTTATAATATGGAAAAACAAAAAACAAAAAAAAAAAGGTGACTTGGCCAGTGGGATTCGAACTCTCCACTACCGGTCCTCTACGAGCTCATGAAAACGGCGCTCCAATCCACTAAGCTACCGAGGAGACGATTTCTGGCTGCGCTAAACACCAATTTATTTCTATTCAGAAGTCCTATTGCGTTTTGTTCTTTATTCTTTTTCTTTTTTGCTGACTCAAACTTCATGGACTTGCTGTCACACATGGCGCTCCTGCCAGGCACTGCCGCGAGTTATTTTATTCATGTTAGGAGCCCCAGCACGCTCTCCCCGCCAGCGAAATGGCCGTTTAGCTAACGAAGCGAGACTGTCCATGTCGGCCATTGGTGGTGCCGCTCGTGCCTTACGGTTCCACCAGCGCATTACGGTAAGATCGCAGAAGACAGGCGCATGCGCAGTTCGTACCGGAGGGCCCATCTTACCGTATCGGATGTGCAAAAACGGTTCCCTAAAACTCTCTACTTTTTTCTAATGTAGTAACGGACTGCTTACTTCTTTTAGAAAAGTAACGCGTAGCGTACTTACCTTACTTATTTCAAGTAACAGGTAACGTAGTTACGTTACTCGTTACGTATTCTTTCAAAGACAGAAAGAAATAGAATTAGAGTTCAATTTGGTTCGTGTTTCTAAGCGGCAAAGCGTCTGGATTTTTGATTTTCTTTCCGTTTTTTCATTTAAGTTTTTGAGTGGAACATGCAAAAAATAAAAGAAGTTTAAAAATCCCCGTAATAGAAAATGAGACCGCAGCTCTTGAGGAGGAGAAGGGGAGGGTATGACCCACATCTTAACCTCTCCTCTCCTTCTCCTCCTCCATACCTTCCTCTCCCCTCCTCCTTAAATTCAGTTGCCCTGCTAAATTTAGCGGGGAAATTGACGTCACGTGACTAGGTGTCACGTCACCTATGAACAAATTCAGTCTCTCGACTAGATTTAGCGGGAAAATTGACGTCACGTGACCTCAACGCCAATTCAGTTCCCCGATATAGCGGAGAAACTGAATTGCCCCGATAAATTTAGCTGGGAACTGAAATTGTGTTGAGGTCACGTAGCGGGAAATTGAATGGGTGTTGAGGTCCGTGTGACGTCAATTTCCCCGCTAAATCTAGCGGAGGAACAGAATTCGTTCGCTAAATCTAGCGGAGAAAGTGAATTTCCCGACTAAATTTCGCCGGGAATTGAATTGGTGTTGAGGTTACGTGACGTTAATTGACTCGCTAAATTTAGCGCGGTTACGCCGACGCCGCTCAAACCGGAAACGGGCGCCTAGGAGCTGCGCTCTAAGAAGATACGGTAATGGCCTAACGGGCCCAGTTCAAAGGTCAGCGCCAACGCCTGTGCGCCATTGCATGCTCACGTACTCTGAGGATGTGAATTAGACAACGAACTTGCGTCAGCGTTTGGCGAAGACTCGGATCCAATCACGAGCTTTGTTAGCAAGAATGGTGACCGCCAATGTTGCTTGACGGACCTCTGAAAAGAATCTGTTATGTTCAATTTTTGGATAGACAATGTTTCTTGATATCTGGCGCTTAGGCATACCTGTAACGTCTAAATCGTAAAACGCGCTAATTTATAATTAAATAAAGTAACGCAAATGTACCGTACCTTACCTTGTGTCGGTAAGCTAAAGCGTTCCTTTTATATGCAAGTGACGAGTATCGTATTTATTTTCTTTTTTGGTAATGTCTACAACACCCATGATAAGTACAATGGACTACAATTACTAGTTACTCCGTGTCAATAGATATTGAATCAGAGCAAACATTAAATTAATTTTGTAAAGAAGTAATTGATTACATTATTTATTACAATACGATATACTGTCAGTTATTTTGTTCGCATATTTAGGGACAAAATCGAAGGTTTGAAAAGTGTATTGAAATGATACTTAAAATATGCTAATTTCCAACTTTATTGTTCCAGTTCCTTGAATGGTGGTCAAAAAGGCACAGGCCTTTTTGAGTGCCATCCAACGTGTGTTTAGACAGGGATCTGATGATGTGGGCGCTCGTGCACATCAAAGCTCTCTCAAATGCCATAGGCTGGACATACGCTCATATCCTTCTCTTATTGCAAACAGCTTTTCAGGTAAAATATAAAAAAAATCAAGCTGCACGTACCGTGCAAGGTTTCACAAACATAGGCATTGTAATTTGCACCGTACAAAATGCAAGGAAAGTTACGCAATAAACGGAAACTGAAGTGGCTCTGTTTTCAAAGACAAACACTTAAATCGTCTTCATTTGAATCAATCAATCAATCAATCAATCAATCAATTTATTTCCTCTCCATCTGAGAGGGGAAGGCAGGGAAAAAAGCAGCATGTCTCTACTTGACGAAGCCCCCGCCTCCCCTTTACATCCGCAGAAGAAACACAACATATGAGTGAAAGAACAATGCAACATATATAAAAACAGATAATCGAGCGCTTACACAGGACAGTGGTGTCAATTATATACAGTGCGAAAGAGTTAAACAAGGTAAACATAATTCAGAGTAGCACACGCTTGCTCCAAGAGTTTAGTAATGAGCATATGCACTACAATGCACATTGACTGGACTGGATTTAGCCTCCAGGATCACGAATATTCAGATTACTTTTCATTTTTGTGCACGGAGGTTGCAGAAAATAATTTTCAATGTACCGCTGGAGCCCTTCCTTCCAGGATCCTGACGTCATATCCGCAGTCCTCGGCATCTCCGCGCTGGCGCATCTTCAGCACCTATCAATGCCATGACCGCGAACTCTTGCTACTGTCAAAAAAGAAAAAAAATAACAAAAAAAACAAAAAAAAAATCGTCGCGACTAGCAGGCTGCAATTGCGCTCGCTGCCTACACAAGGGACACGCGCTTGGCGGCCGAAAGATCTAGATACGACCAAACGACTGGTCGGAGGTTTTTCGTGTTTTCTCGCGTTAAGCTTTATCCCCGGGCAAAACAAACCTAACATTTAAATTCACGGGATAAAAAATGAAAGCCGTTTACAAATCCCTGTAAAGGCCCGTTCACACACTTGCGACCGGGAACACATTTGCGAAAAACCGAACCGAAAATCGGAGAGAAATCGGAGGCTGCGAAAATCGTGGCATGCGATTTTCGGATGACGAGCCATATGAGGTGGAATGCGCGGCGCGGAAATCGCAATGCACTGCGGTTTTCGTGCTCCGACTTCAGGAGGCTGTTCGGTAGTCTGGCGAACTGGCGTCCCATATTTCGCGCCTCTTAAAAACTTCAGCTATTAAAACCTCGTTGCAAGCCACGCGAGCCTTTCTACCACCACCCTTTGATAGAGACAGAAGGGGTTTTCTACGCTGCGCTGCTTCCGAAGCTGCGTGAGCCGCCATGTTGCGAGCCGATCGTATCTTTTCGTTTCGTTCCGTCCTGTTCCGGGCTTTCGCTCACCGAGCTCCTCCGCCCCGAATTCGGAGGCGCCGTGCGAAAATATCTGGCGCTGCAGATCTTTCGAACCGCTCCCGATTTTCGGAAAAGGGGAGGAGCCTAGCTGCCGTGCGATTTTCGTGTTCGGTTTTCGCATAAAATTCGGCCTTTTTTCGCAAATGTGTTCCCGGCTTAAAACCTGGGTTCCTGAAAACTTGTTAAACCAGAAAACACACTGGCGCCATCTATTGGGAAGCAGTGTAAACTCGGCGGTCCGGCATAATTTTTTTTATTTCTCGAGCATTATCCTTTTTTCCTTGGCTCGAAAAACTTTTGACAATGTTATAAACGAGCCTTTCTATGGGTATTACGCACATTTGACCTCGAAAATCCCGCAAAACCTTCGCTCTTGTGAAATGCAGTTCCAGGGTCACCGCATAGATGGCGCCACAATGTCAGTATGTTCCCTCATTCTAAAAACATTTAAGAAGTTGTAAGAGATCTCGTCTCTCTCAGTCGTACTCGGTCGCAAGAGTGTGAACGGGCCTTAACGCCGAATTAGAGCGCAGCTCTTGAGGAGGAAGAGGAAGGGAAGGTACGGAGAGGAGGCTATGTCCCTCCTCTTCTGCTCGCCTCCCATTTAGGGGAAATTTGTCCGCTGAACTTAGCAGGGAAATGTTTTTCCGGTAAATTTAGCGCAGGAAAATTTTCCGCTAAATTTAGCGGGGAAATTTACTCAGAATGCGCAGCGCGGTTACGCCGACGGCGACGGCGACGCCGACGCCGCTCAAGCCGGAAATGGGCGCCTAAGAGCTGCGCTCTAAAATGGTCACCTCTTCTACTTTTCTTCGATTAAATCCTTGTCAAAAGTTGCGCTGGCGCGGATGCTATAACTAATGTTTATCAAGCATGACAAAAACCAGGATACAGCGGATAAAGCGACACATGCACAGAAGGACTCAAACACCGCTGAATAAATTATGGGGTCCACTCAGTTCATCCCTAAATACTTCATCCCAGACACTTTGTACCGAAGATACTTCATTCCAAGACGTTTCATCTCAAGATGTTTCATTTCATGAACATTACATGCCAGGATATTTCATCCTTTAGAGTGCATGGCTCTGCCACACTTCATCCCCGTACACTTCATCCCAGGAATGTTCATCCCGGTCACTTTACATCATAGCAATTTCATCCCAAAATGTTTCATCCCAAGACGTTCCATGCCAGTGGCATAAAATACCCAGGCATTTCATACCAGAATAATTTGGGGCACCCACGAGTTGCTGAGCTCGAGCAAGAAGAAATCTTAAAAACTAATCTTTGCGCATCATCAAAGTCGGTCGTGTTCATGCAAAATGGGTCGCATTTCACCGGATGTAGCACTTATATGAACGTCATTTTGAGGCTAGCATAGGAGTGGCCAAAGACGACTCGGTACTGGACTTCAGCGAACGTCGGCCCATTCCACTTAGAGCCTTTCTTATATTTTTGTATTCTCCCCTCTTATTCATTCACTTACTTCGATTTCTATTTGCAGTGCGGCTGTAATGGTCAGATTTACTTCTTATGAAAGCTATCTACCGCGACAAACCGCAATATTAGAGACTGATGTCACTTGAAAACCGGTCGAAAGGTATCATGCCAAGACAACATTCACCAGAAATATGAAAATTTAAAACGTTTATTTCACAATAACCCACCCATAAGAGCAAAACCTTAACACACCTTCAGAGACCAAAATTCGGGCTAATACGCTCTACAGAGCACGCAATTCGGGCTAATACAGTTTTCAAAACACACAATTTGGGCTAATACAGTCTTGGGAGCACACTATTCTAGTTAATATACTCAAGAATCGCTAAGTACATAGCACGAGCACGCATTGAGAAGGCTGTCTGCGTTTCTGTTGTTATAGTCATCCAGGATCCGGCATAGAGGCTTGTTGAATCGCTCCTACTCCTCCTTTCTGTATAGCGGTGGCTCATGATGACCCACGTCGAGCTGTATGGCCATCACGTCCACACGGACTTGTTCGGAGAAAAGCGCATCCAACAACTCGAATACTGTAGGATGGAATGTACCGATAAAATTTTGAAGTACCCGGTGCCAGCTTTCAACATTGCTGTTGGTTCTGGGAAGGCTGACCTCTGTCACGCGCTTGCAATTCCACATGAATATTGGGAACCATGGGTCCTTGTGGGGTCGACCGACCCAGGTATTCTCAAAGTAGTCTAGGAAGTCTTGGTACTGTTCGGTGCGTGCAAACAAGTCCAGCAGCTGTCTTGCGAGCATGCGATATCTGTCGCAAACGTCGAAAACATTGCAGAAGCACAGTGCGAGGAATTGCTTCGGGATGAGGTCGTAGGTGGAGTCATCAATGAATCGCGCGTGCAGGCCGAGCTTTTGAATTCGGCGCCAGATGCTTTGCGCGAAATGGAATAAACATCCATGCACCTCGACGTAAGGAATGCATTCCAATAAAGCATTCTCTTCAGCCTTTTCGAAGTCCATCACTACTGCGATGGACTGTCATGGGCTTGAAGTGGCATCGTCCATAGCCTTTAGTAGCATGCGCATTGCTCTTTTATACGTCGCTTCGCGCTTGTTTGCCAAAAGGCAGTAATTATGGGAAGCACCCTGCCTTCATAGAGGAAATGAACAAACCAAAGCTGGTAAAACATCTCTGGTGCTACTTTAAATCTGCCGTCGCACAACCAGGTTTCGCAGGTGTTTAAGCGGCACAAGTCCGTCTTACAGGCGAGAATTGTTATTCTTTAAGAGTCAAACAGCCTGTGTCCCCAGCGAGAAATGCCCCAGGAGTCGCTGTTCTTGTCATACGCAGGTGTTCTGGTACAATTATGTCTTAGATCCGGTGGAGAACTTAAACTAAGCCATAGACTTCGCATCGAACTCTGTTTACTTACCTTTCCAGTGATGACAACTGGGGAGCTTCGTGGTAGTCGCTGGTCTGGTCTTGCCCCTTGTAGGCAGGCGGCCACGACGTTCCGAGGGGTGTCGTGGGAACGCTTGGCTGCAGTTTTAATCTTATCTTGTAAGCCCGCCGCAGCGGCATTTACTGGACTCGGTAGACGGCAAGTGTGGCCTTGTGTCACGGTGGTCGTCTCACCTGCAGTAACAGCTCGTCCTAGGCAACCCTCCTGGAATTTCTTGCATCTCATTGCCGTCTTCTCGTTGTTGGTCCTGGGCTTGGTGTACATTTAACCTTCGTAGCAGAGCTTCGGCGAGCCTCGACAAGAAGCCGCAACGGTAGCCATGTTCTATAAACAAACTCGATGACAATCAATGGGCACATCATTGAGTCTGGCCGGCTGGACTGTTCGACTGGTGGATTCTCGATGCCAAGTGCAGGACGGCCTTACGTGGCATGAGTGACAATAGAAGACAGACGAAGTGCATATGTCGGCTCCCTGCGTGAAAAGCCTACTTTATAACTTCTTCTAGACAGAAGACTTTGTTGTATAAAATATCCAGGTATGAAATGTCCTTGTCATTCCAAGACGCTTCGTCTTGGGATGAGACGTCTCGGGATAGACCGATTCTGGGATAAAGTGTCCGGGATGAACAGTCCTGGGATGAAATGGCATGGGATAAAGTGAGTGGCCTTTGAATCGGCTTAACCGTATGGAATATTCTGGTATCAAATTTCTTGGTATGGATTGTCCATGGGATAAACTGTCTTGAGGTGAAACATCCTGGGAACTTTGAAATGACTTAGGTATGATGTGTCTGGGATGAACTGTCCTTGGATGAAGTGACTTGGGATGAAGTGTGTTTACTTACATTTTTAGGGAAAACAAACGTGATATTCAGATTCACGGGATACATATACTCTAGAATACACCCCTAACTCGTTTTGTTAATTCAGCTTCCCCTTAAAGGGGCGATGCAACAAATTCTGTACTTTGCGCAAATACCGCTTAGAACGGGTCCCTGACGTTAATGACCTATGAAACACGCGTTCGTTTTTCACCCCACGCAATAGAAGTCCAAGAAAAAAAATTAAAGAAAAACGAGCAGCGTTCACTCCCTCAACTCGCAGCCAGAACAAGCGGCCACGTGATCTGGAGCCGATTATATGCCACCAATGTTGATCATAACCACGCGATGGGGTCGGCAAAGCACAGGACACGCGCTGCGTTCCAGACATTGTTATGGCTCGGCTATTGTCGTCATTGCAGCGATTGGACACGGGCCACTACCCGAATGCTTCTCGAGCTAGTAATTATCACGAGCCCAAATCGAGTGCCCACGCAAAGCTCGAGTCCAACCTATAAACCGCATTCAAATATCGTCATTGGGGTGCACTGCCATCCCCATGTTACGTCATCAAATTTTGCAAAGAAGAGATTGAATGAAAACGATCGCTTTTGTCCTTGAAATCATACCACAACAAAGTTTTTTTTTTTTCCAGTGGCGTTGCGTGCGAGTATCCTTGAGTCCCACTAGTGCCAGTAAGCTCGTGCAAAGTGAAAAACATTCCAATTGAATATCGTTGCACCACTCCTTTAAGTAATGACATCGAAAAAAAAAAATTATTGCAAAAGGTATGTTGCCAACACTAGGAACGTCGCGCCTTTTTTTTTTTTCCTACCCGATTACACTACCAAGCCGTGATAAAATAATGAAAAAATAATATCGGTCCAATAAATAACTCTGTAAATACGTTCCTTTAAAAATTCAAATTCAACGTGTTAAACTTCGTCGCGACGACTGGAGGCGTACGGCATGCAGTCGTGAAGAAAACATACAACCAATTCTATGAATTGTTCGGTCGCTGAACTCGTGAAATACAAATATTCCTTGCATTATGACGTAGAAATGGTGATGGCCGAAAAAACGCTGAAAAGCATTCTTTTCTCACAAACCCGCAGATCCGTTTAACTTTTACGTTTTTCATTGAAGGGGAAAAAATCCCTTGTACGATCCCTAAGCGCCCCCCCCCCCCCCCCAAAAAAAAAAAAAAAGCAGCCGCACGAGAAAATGCGCTGAGACAAACCGTGGTTCGTACGTGTGACGTCTCAAAAATATCATCAGCTGCGACCAACATGTTTGATGGTATCTAAAATGCACGGCGGAGGCTTGGGGTAAGTGCCTTCTAAAATCAACACCGTCGAAGTTGACAGCCTGATATCGTTCGTACTTTCGCCGATGAAGCAGAATTTACTAAAAATCGTCCCTGTCACTTCTTTTCTCTCTCTCGGCATTTTGGGATATCATAGAAGTGGGTAGTTAAACTCGTGGAGCAAAACATTCTTCGCTTTTTGACGTAGCGGGGGGAGTGACAAAAAAACGCCACAAAGTTTCCTCCATAGAGTTATTATTATGTAGGCTAGAGGTTCAAGTGGCGCTAGTGTGCTGACGCAAATTGAAGCAGACAGCAACCAGTCGAAAATTGACTTCCGGTAATGCATTTCTATGGAAAAAAGTGAGTGCATTTTCTCCCTACGCTCGATCATAAGAGCAAATATCCTGAATAATTCGTACGTACTAGGTAGCTTGGAACATTTCTCAGTCAGGCCGACAAAAAAATTGGTCAGTTAAGGCGTTTTTCTTTCGAATTGATCGCACTAAAAACGGTGTTTAAACGGCTTCGTACGTGTATTTATGTGCACTGACGGACACTGTTAGCGCGAACGCGGCGTCGGCGATCCCCAGCATGGGGATACACATGCCAAACGAACGAAGGACACCTGAAAAATCAAGAGCGGGGGCAAGAACTACGCAGTAACACTGGATCAGTAACTCGCAGAGCATGTACGATCAAAATAAATTGTAGGCCACGTAATCTATTTCGATTTTAAATAAGTGAGTACCGCTTTATTCTTTCTGCCCTAAACGAAGCTGCTTGTTCTACGTTCAAAATATCACCCGCGCGCTCGATATCTTTGAGGACAAGTACGCGATAAAAGCTGCCCGGCAGAGAAAACAATACGAATAGATACCTTTCATAGCCCACGGACTTTGTTCTTTACGTTTTGAAGGTTTTTATCCGCTCATGCACGACGGTATCATTTTTATATGGTGATAATATGCCAGTCCTGGCATATTATCAATATACAAGCGTCACCGGAATGCTGGCGAGCCTTGAACACACTTTATATTCGTTTCGATTGTAATTTTGCTTTGAATCGTCGCTTGTTTTTACACACCTGCTGCGGAACAGACGTTTGGGACTGAAATGTAGCGAAGTTAAACATCGCTCACTGATGAAGAAAAATGCGCTAACTAAAGCAATTACACTTTTACAATATTAATTAAGACACATACTATTCGGTACGACCGAAATAACCAAAGTGTTCCGTGTTATTTTCCGGCGAAGAGACAAAATGCACGCGCATTTTCCCATAGGGATGCACAGGAGCACCGCAAAAGTAGACTGGTTGCTGTCTGGTTCAATTTGCGTCACGGAAGTCGCATAGACACTAGCGCCAGTTGAACATCTAGCGTACATTATAATAACTCTATGGTTTCCTCCTCCCTGCGCGCGCTCAACTTCGCAACTTTTGACGAAAAATCCCCCGCGATTCCTAGGCAGTGCACGAGAGCACGAGACAGCGCGGGGAGGCGAGCGTTCACGCCGCTCGCTGTACGTTGTGTCAGAGCCGTTTATGTAGAGCGTTTGGCCATTCGTTGGGAAGTATAGGAGACAAATGAGGAAGCGCCATTGGCCGAAAGCGGGCTGAACGTATTCCAGGGCGTCTTCGGAAATTCGAATGTGACCAACCAGATGCCTGAAATAATACCCTGGCGGTGGTCGCGAAAAACAAACCTGATAACTGCATTCGAGTAACTCTCGATGACTGAAAATATGGTACACGTGATGTTTCAATCACGCTCATCGAAAATGACGGTGGAGGAGTGCGACTAGCGGAACGATCGACATAATCCGTACGCCAAGCGCCGAGGGCCGGGAATCTGCCGTCCGAGCGGTCACACTCTGTCCGAGCAAAACAGAGTTGAGCGGCGCATTCGTTTCTTACATCTTTCTGCATGATCATGATCAAAACAACACGTGAACCCTATTTTCAACCACAAAGAGTCACTACACTTCACTCTTACGCGCTTATTAAAACGATATACGAACATAGACCTTTTATCAGAACTGTTTCTCGCTACCACCGCTAGGGGATTCTTTTCGGCTTCTGGTTGGTCAAGAGAGCATGCCAAGCCCTCTTTGCGAGTCTGGTGTACGCCCTGGCTCTGCCCGCGTCTCCCAATGACCAAACTCTCTACATATACGGCTCTGCGTTGTCTTTGAGCTCTCTAGTGCCGACAATCCTGTCATGCCTCGCCCAGGCAAGGAGCGAGAGCAGACGACGAGAGTTCGTCTGCTACTATGCGGCATTCGCACAGCGGAACTGCAAAAAAAAAAGTTGGTTTTCTGCTCGAAATCGCGTCCCGCGGGCCACAAACTCAAACGCGAGCTTGAATCGTAAGCGTCTGATATTTCACGAAGGGAGGAATTGACGGCCCGTGTTTTATTTGCAAAA